GCCGAAGGCAGTCGCTTAACCGACAGAGCCACCCAGGCACCCCATATATATGTTTCTTATTCCTTTTTAAAGTTTCGTCACCTTTTCTAGCTCCGTGCAGGACTAGTGGCCAGACGAAAGCAATCCAGAGGCATAATGACTTAGGAGGAAGGAAAGATTTCAGAAAGAATTGCAAAATATTGACAGGCTTCCAGGTTTGAGGCTTGCTTCCAAAGTGTTTCCAAAGTAGTACGTTTGAATTTTTTCCTTTTTTTTTTTTTTTTGGAATCTGTTGTAGGCCCAAGCTTAGTAATAATAGGAAAAGAACACTGCCTTTTTTTTTTTTTTTTTTTTAAATCACTACTTGCAACAGCTAACATCTACATAGCATTTGCTATATGCCTGGCACTGTTCTAAGTGCTTTACTTATATGAAGTGATTTAATCTGATGAGATTGGTGCTATTAGCAAAAGTCCTAAAACAGGTCAACAACGTAGTGCCATTATGCAAGAGCAAATTTCTCACTGTGAAAACAAAGGAGTTTAATGCAGACATCTCTGCTGAAAGAAAGTGCCACGCCAGTCTTTTTAAAGATGCAGGAAAAAAAAACCCCACCATTACCTTGTAGGTATAAAAATCCAGTAATGTCGTTTTGAGATACTTAGAAGAAACAAAATCAGGGTATTAAATTTAACTTTAACATTTGAGGTTTACATATAATTTAGGCTCTCTCTCTCTCTCTCTCTATTCTTCTCCAAAATTAACATAAACTGATTTTGTCTGTAGGCTGCTTTGCAATTAACACCTCTTATGCAGCAATTTAAATAAAAAAAAAACCCAAGATGCAAGAACATGTTTATTTCTACTTCCTTATGTTAATACCTGATAGGAATAACTCGCTTCCTTTTTCACAGATGACTAAAATCTACCCATATTTTGACAATTTTTACGCTGTCTCATCGGTGACAGAGCAGATGGAAGTGGACAGACATTTGGCCAGACACCCATCTTTCGGTGCGGTCATGGTGCTATCATTCTGAAACTTCAGGCTGTTATTTTACCGTCCTTCCTATTGCAAATTTCTTTAATTATACTCTTTAATTTTTCAAATCAAAAACAAAAGCCTGGATTCCTGAAAAGAGTATAAACATATCAATCCCTTCCAATTAAAAAATGTACATTTTAACCTAAAATGTCCCCATTAATATTTTTAAAAAATTCCTAGTGATGCCAAAATTAGTATGCACATCATTTACTTTTCAAGAATATACTAAGGTAATCAAACCTGCTCCCTTAAAAGCCTCCAGACAGCTCTGAAGAATCTGCAACATTTCAAGATCTACAAAATTCCATCTTTCCCTAAGATCATTTTTCTCAAAGACACTTTCATAATTTTGTCCTTAATAATAGTGGCCACACTACAAATCTTAATGATTTAGGTACGTTCTTTCTAGTAGATAAAAATTCTGGGCAGTAAATTATTTCAAAAATAAGCAATCATAGTTAACTACTGCTCTAAGCTGCTTTAAATTCACAATTCAACATGCAGTTCCACGGGGGGCACGTTTACATCAGAGGACATGCGAGCGCTCATACTGCAAGTCAATTGCAACTTACTATTGAACACAGAATTCAAAACAAAAGGCTTTGGCAATAACTGAAGACAGAAACAGTGGGGAGGAAATCAGTATTTCAAAAGAAGCCGGCAAGAACGCTACCATTATAATTACGACACATGTCTACATTTTTAAAACACCAGCCCTCCCCGCCCCGCCAAAGGCTCTCAGCTCTGTAGACATCATTATTTAGTCAATTTGCTTCTGGAGCTCTTAACAGTGTTCTAAAGGAGTTAATTCTAATGGGAGAGAACAAACCAGAATTTCACTGGCTATAGTGAGCCTCAGTTACCATGGAAAAGGAGGGTAAGAGTGCTGGGAAGTTTGTGATAAATACAAGGCAACTAATTACCTGTTTGCAACACAGTAAAAGGAATGCCTAATTAGATCTAGCCAAACTCAGCCTTAAATTAATAAATCAAACCAATAAGATCTCGAGGGAAGAAGAGGCAACTGCTATATCTCAAATACTCTTTGTCAATGGCTATGGACTGAAAATGGCGCCAGTCACCTTGCTCACTAGCAGCTAAGGCGTCAGGCTTTAGTAAGGAGTGCCACACATACGCCCTCCAGGCACTGAGCATGGAACCAGGTGCTTGGAAGTAGAAGAATTAAGTCAGCCCCGAACCTTGAGGAGTATCTGATGATACTAGAGAGGAGGACGAAAATTTTAAATGCCTCCTCCAATGGACTAAAAAGATATGCTTCTAACTTTTAATTATCAAAATTATCATCCTAGAGAAAACCGTCCGGTTAAATACTACTAAGGCGAGAGTTGCAAACCTCTTTTTAATCAGAAAGTTCAACTCAGGAAGCTTCCAAGACTGTGAGTCAGGGTGTAGCATTAACATCTGGGAGCACCCTATTCCCCAAGGGAGACACCAAGGGAGACGGAAAGAGCACTTCCAGGATGGCACTTAGCACCTTGAAAAATGCCCTTTAATGAAGCCCCAGAGGAAATGGTTCGCCTTTCACAGCGAGTAGTGTGTTTTAGCTTTGATTCGGTCAGTGTTCTTTTTCTCACTTCCTTTGCTAAGATACTCTAATGGCTAAAAGAACTAACTACATTTGGTGGGATGAGAGAAATTTCATTAGTTGTAACAGTACTAATATGATACATTTAGGAACTTCATAGGACTTATTACTATAAGATCCCGCTAGACAAAGGAACAGTCATGACTCCTACTAATGGGGGATTTTCACATACTTACATAAACAAATTCATCGAAGCTTATCTTCCCATCTTTATTCCTGTCACCATCCAGCATGAGTTTTTGAATAATTTCTCTCACTTTATATCCTGGTAATGGCATATTGGCTTCCTTGAAAAGCTCATGAAGTTCATAGTCACAGATGAATCCGTTGCTGTTGAGATCTTTGTACAAAGGGAGAGCAGGTAAAAAAAATGAAAAAAATTTAGGAGAAATAAGTTAGCCTCTTAGAGTATTCTTATGATCAGAGCATTTTTCTTCATCTGAGACTCAGTTCCTAAGCTCGCCTGAATACAGTGCTTGCTCTTCTTAGTGTTTGGTATTTAAGGTAGTTTAAAAGGGAAACACAAATTTTAACCGAAAGAGCATGGTTTTACATCATGTTTCCTGTATTTTAAAAACAGTGTATAAGTAGCTTCACTTAAATATAGCATCCCTAATACTAACAAAGTAGAGTTGCCTAATAAATTATTATTCAATCACGAAGCTGACAGGACTTTTAAGAAATAATTAATAGACTATGTACCAATAAAACACCGCCATGGTATAAAACAGTTTCTACTGTATCTACTTAGGACTTTTAAGCCCCTCATTCTTCCATTAGTCTGGTAGAATATTTTATGAATTGATGCTGATTATATTACAAAGCACACCTGAAATTAAGCTACCATCTTCAGCGCCATTTTTTTCAAGAGCTAATGTAAATAAACATCAATCTAAGACAAATATAGAGTTCATAAAAATAAATGCAGTCCTGAGTAATGCAAATGTTTACCATGACTCTATAAATAACCTTTTTATTTTTGTGCTAGGACAGTTCTAATGGAGGATGTAGTGCTGATGATGCTTAGTCTGAAACTTTTAAAAATGGGGGGGGGGGGGGGGGGGAGGAAGTGATCAATGACCGAAAGTTAATTTACTGGGAAAGAGGGCTAACATCCTAAGGGTTGTAATCTCTTGGGCATTATTTTTTTAAGTAAAGAAAACTGGACTTTCACCAGTAATTTCAAATACCTACTGTTCAACAACGCCTTTTATTCTTTAGGTCCCCACTGAATTTCATACATAAATTTCATTATTGCAATAAAAGGATACAATCTCAACAGAGAAATGACTCAAGATAACCACAGCACTGTTCAAGAAAATGTATTGTGAAATTAATCTATTTGATACATTACTTTAAAACAATACTGGGTACTGTTCTTGAAATTGGGGATGCTGCCACCAACAAAAGAGAAGCCCTGCTGTCTGCGAGCTCACATTCTAATGATAACTACTAAGCAAATAACATATGAGGTGAGGTAGGACTATAAAATATAATATAATGAAATATAATGTAAGTGCTGTGATGAAAAATAAAGCAGGAAAAGGGGGGTCAGACTGGGGGCTATTTTGCCCCCCAGGGAACCTTCAGAAATGTCAGGAGACATTTTTGGTTGCATGACTGGGGGCCAGGGTGAGGGATGGTGTGAGGATGCTCCTGGCATCCAGTGTGCAGCGTTGCCAAATACCTTACAATGCATATGACCCCCTCCTGCGATACAGAATTACGCAGCTCAAAATGTCAGTGGTGGAGGATGGCCACTTTGACAAGGTTATATTTGAATGAAGACTTACGTGAGGTAAGGGAGCGAATTGTGTGGCTATCTGGGGGGAAAGAGATTTCAAGTAGAGGAAAGAGCAAATGGAAAGTCTGTGATATGGAAGAGTATCTGGTACGGTTTCAGAACAGCAAAGTTCCAGTAGGACTTGAGTAGAGTAAACAAAGGAGAAAGTAAGGGATGAGGTCAGGGAGCTGATCACGTATACTCTTACAGGTCATGGAAAGTACTTTGAATCTTTTTTTTTTTTAAGATTCCACTTATTTATTTGAGAGAGAGACAGAGGACAGAGAGAGCAAGAGTGGGGAGGAGAGAGGAAGCAGGCTCTCCACTGGGCAGGGAGACTGACCCTGGATCATGACCTGAGCCGAAGGCAGACAACTAACCGACTGAGTCACCCAGGGGCCCCATGGATCTTATTCTAAGTGTGATCTAAGTGTAATTCATATTAGCCATTTTTTGTCAACTATTAAAATATTAAATATCCTATATGAAATCATTTCCCCAATATTTTGAGGGCTGATGAAATTCTATATTTAATTTTAATGACGTGTACTTCTAGAGTCAAACAAATATACTCTTAAATGTAATTGGCACATTTAAACCTACTGATTAGAGTATCTATACTTCTAAAACATCATCCTCAAACTACCCCAAACTTCTGAAAATCATGAATATTTCCTTCGACAAAGAGCACTTAATTTCCCTAGGGCACATCTTTACTTTCTTTGCTTTGAATTAATAAAAGGCCATACATCAAACACTTTACTAGTTAAGTGTTTATATGCAGAAATCAATCCAGCAACAACATCTGCAATTGCTAAAAAGAACAAAGTGATCCACATGGTACTGTGGCAGGATTTTAGCAACTTTTGATGAATGAAATTCTTGAGTTTAAATATACCTCCTCCCATGCATAAACCAATCTGTTTCTCCCATTTTATTTAAAAAAGTTAAAATAGAGGGGCGCCTGTGTGGCTTAGTCGGTTAAGTGACTGACTCTTGATTTCAGCTCAGGTCATGATCTCAGGGTTGTGAGATCAAGCCCCACATTGGACTCCGTGCTGGGCGTGGAGCCTGCTTAAGATTCTTGCTCTTTCTTTCCCTCTCTCTCTCTCTCTCTCTCTCAAAAAAAGAAAAGTTAAAATAGAGCTCGTTACTAGGGTGTAAGTGTGGCATAGTGAAAGATACACAGCATAGTTGAAGGGATACAAGTGGGAGTAATGTGATATAGAATTTGCATAAGTCACCTCTCTAGGTCTTCATTTTCCCATCTGTAAAAGAAGTCCTTTGGATCAAATGATCTCCAAGTTCCCTTTTTGACTCTAACACACTCTGATTCTAAATTTGAGTAGCCAAGACTTCACAAACCACACACACACACACTTTTAAAAAATATTGGTGGTACAATCATAATACATATTAAAAACAAATATATAGTAATAACTTTCTGATCACTACTATATCATATTATCGAAATATAACATCTCTTCATTTTTCGATCTTTTAGGAAAAGATAGCTTATTCCTGGCCACTATCAAAACTTTGTCCACTTGGCAATTTCTGATAGAAAAATATATTTTTTAAATTTTTCTTTTTTTAAAGATTTTATTTATTTATTTGACAGAGAGAGACACAGTGAGAGA